CGTGCTCCCCACGCCAGAGGAGGAAGAGGAGGGGAGGCCTTCGGCTCCCTGCAGCCGCTCTGAGCATGGCCAGCACGGGAGGGTGGCCCCCAGCCCACACCCCAAAGGGTAGGGTGCCGGGTCCCCTAGCACCCACACTGGGGTTGGTCTGCGTGATGCATTCTCCAGCCAAGAAGGGCAGAAGGTGCCCGTGGCCATGCCACTACGAAGGTGCCATCACCTCCGTGCTGCTGCGGTGGTGCAGCCCACCCCGGCAGCCCTGACCAGCCACAGGGTCAGGGTACATTGGAGCTGCACTGTTGGGTGCCCTGGCCCTGCAGCAGCTTTGCTCATGGCAGAGCCCAACAATGCAGCAGTGCAGTCTTGGGGGTACGCATGGGGTGGTGGGTGCTGCTTCAGCACCCACATGGTGCATGTGAGCTACATGAGAGTGCATAGGTGAACATACATGGGTGTATCTGTGTATGTGTGTATCTGAGTGTGTGCACGTGTGTGTGCCTGCATCCGTGTGCGCGCGTGTACTTAGGGACGTGTTTGTGCACGTGTGTGAGCGTGCTCGTACCTCGGGGGGTGTGTGAAGGTGTGATGGACATGAATCCATGTGTGCACACGTGTGTCCCTGTGCACACCCGCACACCCCCCCCGTGGCTCTAGAGGCCGCAGCTCTGTCTGCTCTTCCTGCCCTGGTTTGCCCTGTTCAGGGGGTACCGGGGTCCCTCTCAGGGTCCCCCCGGAGCTCTCGGTGCCGGTGGATGCTGCAGGTGGGGGATAACGAGCAATTCCCACCGGATCTGAAGCCCTTGAGGGCAGGGACCGCCTTCGAACGGTCCCAGCGGAACCCCCTCCCGGGAGCCCCCCCTTCGGCTCCCACGGCCCCGGTACTCCCCCCGCCGACCTGCACCCCGCACCCCCACTCCCCCCCCATTCCCGGTGCGATCGGGGCACCCCTGTGGGACCGAACGGGGGCCCGGGGGTCTCGGGGCTGCCCGGTGCCCCCGCGGGGGTCCCGCTGTGCCCCCCCTCGCCCGTCCCGCCCCCGTCGCCATGGGCACCGCCCGCGAGGCGCCGCGCTGACAGCGCGCGGGGTTTTATGAATGGGTGACGTCACGGCCCTGGCGTCTAACGGTCTGGGCCGGCGGGGGGGCAGCGGGGGGCCGGGGATTCGGGGGGGGGGAGAGGGCAAGGGGGGAGCGGGGCTGTGGGAGCCGGACCCGGGGTCCCGCGGGGCGATTGCCCACGGCGGTGGCGGGGGAGCTGCGGAACGGGTGGCACCCACCGGCGCCCCGCACCCCGGTACCCCCCCAGCACCCCCGTGTGCCCCCGCCGCCGCTGCCCCTTTAAGGCGCTGCCCTTCGGGACAGCATGAATGGGATGGGCGGGGCGGTCCCTTCCCAAGCGGCGCTGCCATTGGCTCCGCCGCTCCCCCGTGGCCCCGCCCCTCCATCAGCCGCGCGCTATAATTGGCGCTGCGGGGCGCGGGCTCCGCTGTCCGCCCGCAGGGTCCCGCCGCCGCCGGTCCGTCCCCGCCGCCCCACGCTATGAAGGTCGCTGCCGTTGTCCCGTCGCCGCTGCCCGCGGGCGCCGGTGGCGCGCTGAAGGCGGTGCGGCCCGGGGAGGCCGCCCGCTGCGGGCCGGGGCCGGGGGTGTCCCCGGGGGCGGCGGAGCAGGCGGCCGCCGCGCTGCTCTACGACATGAAGGGCTGCTACTCGCGGCTGCGGGCGCTCGTCCCGACCCTGCCGCGGCACCGGCGGGTCTCCAAGGTGGAGCTGCTGCAGCACGTTATCGACTACATCTGGGACCTGCAGCTGGCGCTGCAGCGAGGGCCCCCCCGCCCCGCCGCCGCCGCCGGGGACCCCCCCGAGGTGAGTGCGGCCCCCCCGGTACCGGCCCCGCGCTCCCGCCCTGCCGGTTCCCCGGACCCCTTGCGCTTCATCAGCGCCGGGGATGCCCCTTCCATCCCCGGGACGTCCCCGACCGGCTCTGACCGCTTCGCCCTCCTCTCCCGCAGGCTCCGTGCGTGCCCGCTGCCGACCGGATCCTCTGCCGCTGAGACCGTTCCGGACCCGCCGCGGACATCCCGGGACCGTGGCCGCCTGCATCCCGGGTCCCCCCGGGGGGCGGATCCCCCCCGCAGCCCGGGCCGGGGGTGCTGCCCGGTGTATCCTTCTCAGATTGCTGAGAGCATTCCCCGTATTGTATATTACAATGATGCTGGAGAATATTGTTCTACAATAGCTGGAGTTTTGTTATTAAACAAGCCCTGATGACCAGGCACGTCTCTGCTTCCTGCCCCTCAAGCCCCGGGCTTTGGGGACAGGCCCCCCCGGGAGTCTGAACCTGGGGGATCCTATCGGGACCAGTGTGGGCTGGGTGGGTGCTGGAGTCCCCCATGGGCTGGTCCCAGTCACCCCAGTGCTGCTGTTATGGGACCTGCCTCAGCACTGTACCCCCCTGTGTGCTCTGTGTCCTGCTTCCCCCTCGCTCCCAGGCTCAGACATGGGGTGCTGGGGCTGGTGTACCCCGGATTCTGCAGTAGGAAGCTGCAGCAGCACTGGGATGTGTTTCTCCTGTGTGGGCACCTTGATGGGACGATGCCACTGAAGGGATGGTGCTGGGAGCTGGGTGAAAGGCTCTGTGCCCACTTGGAGACTGTGGGTGCCGGTGTCTGCATGGGGGTGAGTGTGCAGCACAGGTCTGTCAATGCACCGAGTTCCAGCTGGGACCCTGCAGTGTTCCTGGAGCTGTGCTGGGGTGCAAGGCTGTGGGCGCTGCTCCCATTGCACTGCCCCAAGGGAAAGTGGGTGCAGGCCCCAGGGTGCTGTCCCTGCGGCTCCGGTTTGGTGCTGGACAAGGAAGTTGCATCAGGGGTTGCACAACCCCGCGGGCTGGGGGTGCCCCGGGCAGCAGCACTGCCCTGAGCTCCTCTGTGACTCACAACCACCTCGGGGCCGAGCTGCCTCCTGCCGCAGCTGGGAATGGACCTTCCTGAGGGGCTGGCGGAGCAAACCGGGCTGCATGGGGGGGTCCTGCTGCCTTAGTGGGACCCTTTCTGCCCCCCAACAGGTCCTGCAGCCGGGGCTCAGGGGTTGCACCCCTCTGCTGCAGGGGTGTGTGTGCTTCTGCGTGATCACCTGTGTGTGTTTGCATGTCCATGGTGTGCTCACAGCCCCGTGTGTGTGTGTGTGTGTGTGTGTGCGCCTGCCCTCTCGTGTTCCCCAGCCCAGCAGGTACCTGGCAGGGGGTGAGCAGGGGGAGGTGATTTGGGCAACTGGGGCACTGCTTGTCCTGGCTGTGACACAGCGGTTGGGGGACATGGAGTGCCGTGGGGCCAGGTGGCTGTGGATGATGTCCCTTCCACCACTACTCCCTGTGACACCGCCATCACTTCCCTCCATCACCCCCCAGTTCCCCTCTATCACCCCACCGGTGTCCCCTCCATCACGCCCCAGTTCCCCTCTATCACCCCACCGGTGTCCCCTCCATCACCCCCCAGTTCCCCTCTACCATCCCGCTGGTGTCCCCTCCATCACCCCCAGTTCCCCTCTACCATCCCACTGCTGTCCCCTCCATCACCCCCAGTTCCCCTCTACCATCCCACTGCTGTCCCCTCCATCACCCCCCAGTTCCCCTCTACCATCCCACTGCTGTCCCTTCCTTCGCTCCCCAGGTCCCCTCCATCGCCGCGGCTCCAGCCCGGTCCCGGAGCGCGGGGCTCTTTGGGTCTCTCTCCCGGTGCCCGCCCGCACTGCACAGCCCGGCCGGGACCGCCCTCCCGAAGGGTCCCGGTGAGGGGAGACCCGGACCCGGGGGCTCTCCCCCCCCCGGAGCCGTCCTTGCCCCATTCATTGCCCGTAGATGTGGAAGCTCCGGCTGCAGCCGTGGGGAGTTGGGCTCTTGGACCCCACATCCAGCCCCTGACCCCCTGCCCAAGCCCCGTGTGCCCCACGGCCGAACCCCGGCCATGCAGCCCCGGCCATCACCGGCTCAGGATGCGGCGTTGCCAAAGGGCTGGCACCGCCGGGACAGGCTCGGAGCGGGGCTGAGCTGCTGCCACGTGCCGGGATCCCGGATTTGGCAGCACCAGGACGCCCCGGAGGGCCCAGCCCTGCGGCCACCGGCGCCCCAACCGCTCCCCGGTTGTTTTCATGGGACCTGATTCATCCCGGAAGGGATTAGGGACCGGGGAGCTGGTGACGCGCTGGTCCAACCAGCCCGGCCACCCCGGGATGGACACGGGTGTCAGAGCTGGTCACTGCCACGTACGGCCCTGGGGACATGGCAGAGCTGGGACCAACGGTGGGACCTGTGGCTCCCATGGAATGGGGCACTGTGGCCACCGGCCGTGGTGAGTCTTGGGGCATGGTGGGGGTATTTGGGGATGGAGGGGCTGTGGCGGGCACGGGGCTGGTGGCCGTGGTCAGCACTGGCCTTTGGGATGCTGCTGGTGGCCGTGGTTGGTGGTACTGGGGGTCCCAGGCGAGCGGGAGCTGCTCTTGAGGGGTCTATAAAGGAGCAGTGCCCTGCTGAGGTTGGCCACGGGCCCTGTGTCCCCTCATGGTGCTGGGGTGGAGCCCTGGACCCCTGGAGGGACCTCTGGATGCCCCGGTAGCCGCAGCCCATAGCCTGGGGCTGCCCCCCCGGGGACGGTCCCACCACCAGCAGCAGCACAAGCAGCTCCTCTCCTGCGGCCGGGGCTTTTGGAGGGGATTGCACAGTTCTGCTCTCGCTCTGCCTGCCCCGATGTTCCCAGCGCCCCGCAGCCGCCCTGACCCCACTGATGATCGGGTGCCCCAGTGCAGGGGCCCCAGAGCCATTCCCAAAGTGGGAGCAGCCACTGCTCCCCAGTGCAGATGGGTCGAGCCCTGCCCCAGCAGTGCAGCTCCCTCTGTCCTGGGACCAACTCTCTCCATCCCCCTGCTCCTCCATCACCTCCAGTCCTGGCATAGCCAAAGCCCCTCAGGACTGTGGCCCAGCCAGGTCTCTGTGCCCCCATGGAGCTGTGGGTCCTTATGGGGAGCCCTGCCTGGTGGCACAGGGCCGGCAGCAGCGCAGCCGTGGGACCCTGCCTGCCCCTTGCTCCCACGAGTGGGAAACAACGGGGAAGCGGCTTCCCCTTTGAGTCACGCGTTGGGCAAGGCCGGGCTTTCGGTGCCGGAGCGCTGCGGTGGCCCCGCGTGTGCGCAGGAGCTGATGTAACCCTGAACCCATATAAGCCCTGGCCGGTGCCCGGGGATGGGGTCTCTGCACAGCTGTGTGTCCCATGGCCGCGTCCTCTGCTCCAGCTCCCAGCTCCCAGCACTGTTCCCGAGGCTCTCTGGGACCAGCGTGCCTCTGCCTCCTGCTCCTGCTGAGCACCTGCGTGCCCATCACTGGCACCAACCCCGGCATCAACCCCGGCACCAACCTCGGCACCAACCCTGGCACCAACCCCGGCACCAACCCTGGAACCAACCTCGGCATCAACCCTGGCATCACAGCCCGGCTGACCCGGAGGGCGTTGGAATTCGGTAGGTATCTGCCCCTTGGTCTGCGGGCAGAGCCCCTCCAACACCGTCCTTGGGGTTGCTGTCCTGGCCCTGCTTGTCCCCTCCCCAGCATCCTGGGTGCCCCAAACCCCTTCCTGGGTGTCACATCCCTGCTCTGCCCCAGGCCGGCGCTTTGGGGTGGAGCTGCTCCAGTCACTGCTGCAGAAGGAGCATGAGCTGGACCTGCAGGGCTCCTACCACATCCCGCTCCTGGGGACGCTGACCTACACCGTGCCCCGGTAAGAGCTGCGCACGGGGTCCCTGTCCCATCCTTGTCCCCATCCCGGATGCAGCCACAGGACTGGGCCGTCCGTGTCGTGCAGGATCCACATCCAGGAGCTGCAGGTGAACGACTCCAGCTTGGACTTCGCTGAGGACGTGGGGCTGAGGCTGACGGTGCAGGGCGCCCGCGTCCGGCTCAGCGCTGAGTGGGGAGCCCGCCTGGGGGCCGTGTGAGTCCTGCATGGGGATGGGGATGGGGACCGGGGGGCACCGCTGTGCCCCTGCTCACCCCCTCCATCCCCAGCCAGGACAGCGGCTCCCTGGAGCTCCACATGCAGGACCTGGCCATGGCGGCGGTGCTGGGGCTGGGGGCGGATGCTGACGGCCGCCCCGCGCTGTGGAGCGCCGGCTGCGACGCCCGCGGTACCCACCTGCGCCTGCAGTTCCACCGGGGGCACAGGTAACGCGGGACCCCGCTCCCCTCCTGTCCCTGGTACACAGGGATCCCCCCCTCCGGTGCCCGTAGTGGGGTGCTGATGAGCCGGGGTAATGAGGACCCTGCTCTGCCCCACAGCTGGCTCTACAACCTCCTGGCACCTCCGCTCCAGGGGACCCTGCAGCAGGAGCTGAACAAGCAGGTGGGTGCTCGGCCCCTGCGCTATGGGGTGTCGGGGTCCAGGAGTCCCCCTTCCATGGCAGGCAGAGGGAGAGGTTTGGGGACCCCATCCATGGCCTCCCTGATGCCCTGCTCTGCTTCCAGCTCTGCATCGAGCTCCGCAAAGGTGTCTTCAAGCTGGAGGATGCCCTGAAGCAAATGCGAGGTGCGTGAAGGACCCCGGGACCAGGCAGGGTGGGATGGGGGGGCTGGTGCCCAGCAGGGTCTGCGGGACCCCAGAGTGGGGCTGAATCCCCAAAACCTCCCCTGTGTCCCTGCAGTGTCCACCCAGGTGGATGCCTTCGTTGCCATCGACCATTCCCTGCTGCGGCCACCGGCCATCACGGCAGAGCATGGGGACATCGCCATCAAGGTAACATCATCCCTGGGCTGAGTGCAGGGGAGCAGGGCTGAGCTTCACATCCACCCCTCCATCCACCCTTCATCCATCCCTTCAACCACCCCTCCATCCATCCCTTCAACCACCCCTCCATCCACCCCTCCATCCACCTCTCCATCCATCCCTTCATCCACCCCTCCATCCACCTCTCCATTCATCCCTTCAACCACCTCTCCATCCACCCCTTCATCCACCTCTCCATCCATCCCTTCATCCACCTCTCCATCCATCCCTTCATCCACCCCTCCATCCACCTCGCCATTCATCCCTTCAACCACCCCTCCATCCACCCCTTCATCCACCTCTCCATCCATCCCTTCATCCACCCCTCCATCCCTCCCTTCATCCACCCCTCCATCCACCTCTCCATCCATCCCTTCAACCACCCCTCCATCCATCCCTTCATCCACCTCTCCATCCATCCCTTCAACCACCCCTCCATCCACCCCTCCATCCACCTCTCCATCCATCCCTTCATCCACCTCTCCATCCATCCCTTCATCCACCTCTCCATCCATCCCTTCATCCACCTCTCCATCCATCCCTTCATCCACCTCTCCATCCATCCCTTCATCCACCTCTCCATCCATCCCTTCATCCACCCCTCCATCCACCTCTCCATTCATCCCTTCAACCACCCCTCCATCCACCCCTTCATCCACCTCTCCATCCATCCCTTCATCCACCCCTCCATCCCTCCCTTCATCCACCCCTCCATCCACCTCTCCATCCATCCCTTCAACCACCCCTCCATCCCTCCCTCCATCCCTCCCTCCATCCACCCCTCCATCCATCCCTCCATCCACCCCTCCATCCACCCCTCCATCCACCCCTCCATCCACCCCTCCATCCACCCCTTCATCCCCCACCCATCCTTCTCTCTTCACAGGGAGAGTTCTTCAGGGTGCACAAGTCCCAGCAGAGGCCCTCTTTGGTGCTGCCGGTGCCGCTGCCGGTGCCGCTGCCGGTGCCGCTGCCGGTGGCACACGAGCCCATGCTGCTGGTGGCTGTCACCGACTCTGTTGCCAACTCGGCCGCCTTCGCCTACTTCACGGCTGGGGCCCTGCGCAGGAACATCTCCAGTGCCATGGTAGGGACGGGTCTGGCAGAGCTGCCCCCTCTGGGGTGTCCCTGCGCCTTCTGCCCCAGCACCCTGACCCTCTGCCGCCTTCCAGCTCCTGCGGCGGTTCCCGGTCCAGCTGAAGACCAAGAGCTTCGGGATCTTCACCCCACAGGTGGCTGCGGGTGGGATGGGATGTGGGGAGAAGGGACAGAGGTGGGGCGCAGGCAGGATGGGATGGAGGCAGGGAGGGACACAGGCAGGACGGGATGGAGGCAGGACGGGATGGAGGCAGGACGGGATGGAGGCAGGATGGGATAGAGGCAGGGAGGGACACAGGCAGGACGGGATGGAGGCAGGACGGGATGGAGGCAGGACGGGATGCAGGCAGGATGGGATGCAGGCAGGGAGGGACACAAGCAGGATGGGATGGAGGCAGGATGGGATGCAGGCAGGATGGGATGCAGGCAGGATGGGATGCAGGCAGGATGGGATGGAGGCAGGATGGGATGCAGGCAGGATGGGGCGCAGGCAGGATGGGATGCAGGCAGGATGGGGCACAGGCAGGATGGGATGGAGGCAGGATGGGGCACAGGCAGGACGGGATGGAGGCAGGACGGGATGGAGGCAGGACGGGATGGAGGCAGGATGGGATGGAGGCAGGGAGGGACACAAGCAGGATGGGATGGAGGCAGGATGGGATGCAGGCAGGATGGGATGCAGGCAGGATGGGATAGAGGCAGGACGGGATGGAGGCAGGATGGGGCGCAGGCAGGATGGGATGCAGGCAGGATGGGATGCAGGCAGGATGGGATGCAGGCAGGATGGGGCACAGGCAGGACGGGATGGAGGCAGGACGGGATGGAGGCAGGATGGGATGGAGGCAGGATGGGATGGAGGCAGGATGGGATGGAGGCAGGATGGGGCACAGGCAGGATGGGGCACAGGCAGGATGGGATGCACAGGGCAGGGGGGTGGTGGGGACCCCCCGGGAGCCCCGATTGGTGCTGGTGGTGCCAGTGCCAGCCCAGCCCTGCTTCCCCCTCAGCTGCAGGAGCGTTTCCCGGACCAGCCCATGGAGCTGCAGGTCTGGGCCCGCCGGCAGCCGCTGTTCTCCTGCCACCCCGATGCTGTGCACGGGGCCCTCTTCGGCTCTGCTGAGGCCTTCGTGCTGCTCCCCAATGGCACCCGTGTCCCCGCTTTCCTGCTGGACATCGTGAGTGCCTGGTGCTGGGTGGCACAGGGAGATGGGGCGATGCTGGGTGATGCTGGTGATGCTGGATAATGCTGGGTGATGCTGGATGATGCAGGGTTAAGTTGGGTGATGCTGGATAACGCTGGGGTGATGCTGGTGATGCTGGGTGATGTTGGGGGATGTTGGGTGATGCTGGATAACGCTGGGGTGATGCTGGATAATGCTGGGGTGATGCTGGTGATGCTGGGTGATGTTGGGGGATGTTGGGTGATGCTGGTGATCCTGGGTGATGTTGGGGGATGTTGGGTGATGCTGGATAACGCTGGGGTGATGCTGGATAATGCTGGGGTGATGCTGGTGATGCTGGGTGATGTTGGGGGATGTTGGGTGATGCTGGATAACGCTGGGGTGATGCTGGATAACGCTGGGGTGATGCTGGATAATGCTGGGGTGATGCTGGGTGATGTTGGGGGATGTTGGGTGATGCTGGTGATGCTGGATAACGCTGGGGTGATGCTGGATAATGCTGGGGTGATGCTGGTGATGCTGGGTGATGTTGGGTGATGCGGGCTTGCACTGCTCTGATCTTTCCAACACCTCCTGCTGCAGGATGCCAATGTGACGGGGAAGCCCATCATCACCGGGAACAGGCTCGGGGCCACCATGAGCCTCAAGGGGTGAGTGCCCAGTGCTGGGTCCGGCCTCCCCATGGATGTACCCAGGAGCTCCCCCCATTCCCCACCTGTGGCTGTTTTCCTCCCTGGGTCTTGTACCACCCATGCCTGCTGCCCTGGCACTGGTACCGCCTGGGTCCTCAGCTGGACCCGTCCCTTCCCTGGGAGGGTCCAGTCCCCATCCCTGTCCCTGGCTCTCACCCTGCTCTCATCCTCCAGACTCAGAGTGACGCAGGTGACATCGCACGTGGGTCCGGTGGAGGTGAGTGGCCATGAGTGGGACAGGGACAGGCCAGGGGAGCCTTGTCCTCTGCAGGCCCTGGGAGCAGGGTCGGGGGGGTCCTGGGGGTGCTCTGGGCCCTGTGCCAGGCTCAGGGCTGCCTGTCCCGCAGGTGCAGAGGCTGGAGACACTGCTCAGCTTGGGGCTGAGGCTTTTTGGGGTGCCCAGAGCCAACAGTGAGTGATGTCCCTGTGCTGTCCCCTCCTGTCCCCATTGTCCCCCTCCAGCTGCCCCCTCACGCTCTGCTCTCCCCACAGAGTGGCTCCAGGCCCGTGTCCCCCTGCCCACCCTGTACGGCCTCCGCCTGCTCAACCCGCGACTCTCACTGCACGAGGTGGGTGCTGCTCCCGTCCGTCCCCCCCTCCCGGTGCCCCCTAAACCCCCGTTGTCCCCATCTCACCCCCGTTCCCCACAGGGTTTCATGCTCATCACCACGGACCTGCAGCACGAGCCGTGACACCGGATGCCTCGTGGCCCCTTCACCCTCACCATCCCACACCCGCTGCCCCGGTGGCCCCAGCACCGGCCCTGGGACCCCCCCCCGGGGGGTTCAAGTCCTTTGCCCCCCATCCGCAGCGCTGCGGCTCCGCGGCCGCTTCCCCCCCATGACCACGGGGTGGCGCCCGTGTCCCGGCGCTGCCCCGGTGGTACCGGGGGTGCTGGGGTTGGTGTCAGCATGGAACCGGGGAATGGTTTGGGATGAAGGGACCTTAAAGCTCCTCCAGCTCCAACCCCTGCCACGGCAGGGACCCCTTCCACTGGAGCAGCTTGCTCCAAGCCCCTGTGTCCAACCTGGCCTTGAGCACTGCCAGGGATGGGGCAGCCACAGCTTCTCTGGGCACCCTGTGCCAGCGCCTCAGCACCCTCACAGGGAAGAGCTTCTGCCCCAGAGCTCATCTCAGTCTCCCCTCGGGCAGGTTCAAGCCATTCCCCTTGGCCTGTCCCTACATCCCTTATCCAAAGCCCCCTTCCAGGTTTCCTGACAGCTTTCCCCTCTCCCCAGCCGCAGCTCTCCTCCCACCAGCAGCACTGTGGATGCTCCCCCTGCCACCATCAGTGCACACAGCCCCTTCATGAGGCCACAGAAGGAGCATTTGGGCCTGGACTTGGTGCAAAGAAGGGGCTGAGCAGGGCCAACCACCAGCCACCCCTTCCTTGGGCCACCCCATCCCTCCCCGGTCCCCGTCCGTCCCCAAGGGCGGTGTTCACAGAGAGCACAGCACCAGCAGCGGCTCCAATGACAAGAGTTTATTTGTGGACCCACCTCCACCTGCAAACCGAAGCGTTCAATGGGCAAATGCTGCTCCCTGCGCGCCCCGGGCGGGATCTGCTCCTGGAGCGAGTGGATCCCGCACCGGGAGCACGAGCCCGTGCTTGGGGGGCCAGGCAGGACCCCCCACCTCCACCTCCACCCCCTTGGCCTCTGCAGGGAGCACGGCCCCACACATAAATAGGGACAGACAAGATAACAAAAATAGCATTAAAGAGTATTCACAAAGGGTTAAAACCTACGGGGTCTGTACAGCAGAGCGGGGGCCGGGGGGGGCTGTTCTGGAAGCTGCCGCACGCACCCGTCACAGCCACGCTTGGGACAGGGTCTGCCTGGGCTATGGGGAGCAGGGACCCACGGGCATGGCCTCAATGAGGCTCTGCGCCGGTGCCAACCCTCGCTGCCCCCAGGGATGGGCCATGGAGGGGGGGGTGCTGCTCCCAGGGCTCTGCTTCCCCTCCTGCATCGCTCCCCCGGTCCCTCCGTGCCCCGGGGCCCTTGTGCCAGGGCAGGGGCTGGTTCAGGCGCTCTGCCCCTCGCCTGCCTCCCTCCTTTGCCAGGCCCTGCTGCAGTTTACATTCAGAGGGAGGAGGAGGAAGAGGATCCCTTCAACGGGGCACAGCCTCAAACTCCGTCCTCACTGAGATCAGCTCCCAGCAGCTGGTGCCTGGGGAGAAAGGGGCTGATGTGAGGGCAGAGCTCGCCGCCTCCAGCCTCTCTGCCTCTTCCTCCTCACTCCCCTCACCACAGGGATGAGCTCTGCCTGGAGGAAGCAGGGACGGGACCGGGATGCTGCAGGGATGCTCCACGCCAGCCCTGCCTCTTCCCAGGGCCTGACACGGGAGCATGGAGCCTCGACCCTCGCTCTGGCTGGGGCACCTTACGTTAGTGACACATCTACACACACGCACGCACTCACACATGCAAAAATAAGTCTGTTTTATTCTCTTCCAAGTGACCTGGAGGACCCTGCGGGGAGGGGGCACCTTCTGCAGCCCCCCCTTCAACCCGCCCGGGTCCCCCCAGCGTGGGAGCTGGTGGCTGAAGTGCTGCCGTGGCCTCAGCGCCTTTAAAACACAACGGGAGGGATGAGGAGGGAGGGAGGGGGGCTACGAGAAAGGAGCTGCGGCGTGGGGGGTGCCCCCCACAGGGCTCGGTGCTTGGGAGGAGTGTAGTGGCTGGGGGGGGCCGCGGTGGGGCCGGCTCACTTGCGGCTCAGCAGGGATCCCAGCAGGAGCACCCCGGCCACCGTGGCCCCGGTCAGGAGCCATTTGTTGAAGGTCTCTTGGCCCTTCCTCACCTCGGCAGCAGCATCGTTCCCGTAGAGGTCCACAAAGCGCTCCTGCGGGAAGAGGGAGGCGGTGAGCAGAGGGCAGGGAGCGGAGCAGGGGCCATCCCTGGGCCCCACCGTGGCATGGGGCGGAAGGCGGTGGTGGGGAGCAGGCAGGTGACAGATGCCGTGCGTGCTTCCCTGCTCTGAGTCACGCACAGAGGGCGATGGGGAAGCACAGGATCAGTGACGGGAGAAGGGGATGCCAGGAAGGATTGGCAAGGAGAGCACCACGCGGGCAGGGCGGGAGATGCTGCATCCATCACGTGCTGCGGGCTCGCTAATATTAGCATCAAAGTGGGATAGAAATCACTGCAGCAGAAGGACACCGGGCTTTAGCCCATGGCCAAGGCTTGGGGAGCTGCAGCAGGGCTGGTGCCCACGGATGGGGCAGGAGCCCACAGGGTTCATCCCTTTTGCATCCAAGTGGAGGCTCCCATCACCGCCAGCACTGCCACATCCCGGCCGGCACCGGTTGCTCTGGATTTCAGGAAGCCCTGTGGCAAAGGCAGGCACTGGGTCACCAAACTGCTGCCTTCCCCTTGGGGTCGGCGGCCAAGCAGGAGGCCTGGCCAGGAATGCAGCCACTCCAGCCCGGCTCGTCCGAGCCGGCCGCCTCCAGCCCCTCACCTCCAGCACCAGCAAGAGCCGGGCACATCCCAGCAGAGGCACTGCACAGGATGGAGCCACAGCCCCTGTCCCTGAGGGGTGACAGCGCTGGACACGTGGCATGGCCTGGACTGGGGTGATGGAGGGCAGAGAAGAGCATCAGAGAGCGCGCCTGCCCCTGCGCCCATGCGGCACCCGTGGCACGGAGCCAGCCTCTGCTCAGCCGGGGCTCTGCATCACCGGTCAATGGCTGCTCGGGTCCCCAGGGAAGGAGGGGTCCATGCGCAGGGGCCTTTGCCCCCGGGGTTATCAGGGCCGAGCAGGAGCCCCGGGGCTGGAGGAGCTGGAGCTGAGCTCCAGGCTCCGGGCCCGGGCTGGCGTCAGCAGGAGCTTGCCATTGTCACACCTCGAGCCCATGTTCCCAGCGAGGTCCCTGCTCCCTGATAAGTGAGAGCAGTTCCAGTAACCCGGCAGCTCTGGGGAAGCACAGATAAGCCCAGCTGAGGCTGCGCTCCTGTCACGACTCAGCACGGCCTCCCCGAGGCAGGGGCAGCATCACTGCCTGCTCTGGCAGCATCACTGCCTGCTCTGGCAGCATCACTGCCTGCTCTGCCATCCCTGCCTGCTCTGGTAGCATCACTGCCTGCTCTGGCAGCATCCCTGCCTGCTCTGGTAGCATCACTGCCTGCTCTGGCAGCATCACTGCCTGCTCTGCCATCCCTGCCTGCTCTGCCATCCCTGCCTGCTCTGCCATACCAGCCTGCTCTGCCATCCCTGCCTGCTCTGGCAGCATCCCTGCCTGCTCTGCCATCCCTGCCTGCTCTGGCAGCATCCCTGCCTGCTCTGCCACCCCTGCCTGCTCTGCCATCCCTGCCTGCTCTGGCAGCATCACTGCCTGCTCTGCCATCCCTGCCTGCTCTGGCAGCATCCCTGCCTGCTCTGCCATCCCTGCCTGCTCTGGCAGCATCCCTGCCTGCTCTGGCAGCATCCCTGCCTGCTCTGCCATCCCTGCCTGCTCTGGCAGCATCACTGCCTGCTCTGGCAGCATCACTGCCTGCTCTGCCACCCCTGCCTGCTCTGCCACCCCTGCCTGCTCTGCCATCCCTGCCTGCTCTGGCAGCATCACTGCCTGCTCTGGCAGCATCACTGCCTGCTCTGCCATCCCTGCCTGCTCTGGCAGCATCCCTGCCTGCTCTGCCATCCCTGCCTGAAACTGCCTCCCATACCTGCCCAGAGCCCACAAAGAGCTGCAGTCGCTGCCACAGGACCTGCAGGGCTTCAGTTCCTGGATCACATCAGGGATCGAGATTCTCTTTAGGCAGGTGCCTCTCCATCACTCATGGACAGAGGGTACCAGTGCTCTGGCTCCTCCAAAACAGCCCCAGCATGGTCACAGCATGCGCTTACCTCCTCACCCCGCCACAAACACACAGCTTTTGACAGCAAGGTGTGCAACACACAAGGCTGCTCAAGGGGAGCAGGATGTGCCCTTCTTCTTGGCCACAGGCCTCCTGCCACAGGGGATTAGGTACCTGAACAACTGCCCCTGCACCTCAGCACCACCTCTGCCCCAAGCACCATCTCCAGCATCTCAATACCCCCCTCGACCGTGAGTAGGTATCAGCAGAGGTTGGGCAGGCTGCTGGGAGCACAGGGACTTCACTAACTCACCCCAGGGCACATCACTGCTCCCCCTGAGCCCTCTGCAGGGCCATGGCACCATCCCCATGGCTCCACAGTGTGGCAGGAGCTCCCTTCCCACCAGGCTGGGGGTGCTGCACAGCACCCCGGGGCGGGCAAGCCAAGGCTCACACACAGGGGCCACCCAGGGAGGACCAAGGGGGAGGCTGCGCCCTCCTTTTCGCCCAGGAAAAGCCACTTGTTTCGGCTTCATGAAGGATTATCAAGGATTCACGAGGGTCAGCCCCACCGAGGGTCAGTCCCAGCAACGGGCACGGCCCCATCGTGCCCAGGCCGGCTGCAGGGGTGGAAGGAAGGAAGGAAGGGGCATCCAGGCAGGCACCAGGAGAGGGCCCCCGAGGCAGCTGGCAGCGGCTGCTGCCTCCCATGGTGTGTGCCAGGAGCGGGGGGGGGGGGAAGGCGCTTCCGAGAAGTGAGTTTTGGGGCCTTGCTTCTCAGAAAAGGAAGCGTTTGCTGAGCAAGAGATAAATGCAGAGGGGGCAGCGGGAGCTATCGGCTGGTCCAGGCGGAGGAGAGCAGGGAGGGGATGCGAATCCCTCTCCTTCCCCCGGGGAAGGGAGCAGCAGATGCTGGGATGCAGCTGGGGCTGCAGGGACCTGCACGGGGGGA